CTGATATTTTATTTCCAGTGCACGTTGATAATGAATACAATAGCCAATAATACATATTGGGTTTTTTTGGTGGAACCAGGGATTGAACTCAGGCCCTTGCACTTGCCAGGGAAGTGTTTATTCTACTGAGCCATCTCCCTGGCCCTACTAATACATACTGTACTGTTACTTTAATTTGTGACAGAGTGCCAATAATTTACTACTCTCACCATTAATACAAATGTCAATGTGGTTTAAAAAATAGAGTGGCAAATTATTTATGAATATTATTATGAAAATAGTTTTAACCTATATAGAACTTTAAAAATGTCTCAGGAGCCCCAGGGACCTATTGACACCCTGAGAATCATCGCTCTAGATTGAATTCAAGCTGCAGTAGATGTGCAGTGTGATGTCTGGAAAACTGTGGGAGATTTTGAATCACAGAAATATGATTCAGTTCTAGTTTTGGTCAGACCCTGAACAAGTTGGTCTTCAATGACTGAAAGTCATAGTTACCTGTGTCTACAACTGGGCTGGAAAGTGAAGGGGATGCTGATGTACTGGGAGAATTTGGGGATAAGACACACTGTGCATTCGCTAAAATGAATGACTTAGCATTAAGCAGCAGGACTTGGTGTCCGGAAGCCTGCATTTCTGGGGACTGAGGGACCTTTGCTTTCTGGGGCCCTCTGTCACTCTAGGGAGCTTCTCCTTTTCATCAGTCAGCCTCTCTGTCTTAGGCTACTTCAAAGAGTCCCTGTGCAGCTGAAGGAACATTGTTTTTAGCTTGAATAGCAGAAGAGAGTGAGGTTTAAAGGATAGCAGGTGGAAAGGAAGTTGGGAGGTAGAGGGAGCCCCTTATGCGAGAAATAGGGCAAAGAAAAGAAGCCTGCACTGAGCCTGGGTTGGGTTCCTCTCTCTTGGACTCACCATAGAGAATTAGAACACTGTCAGTCACAAGGGTACTTACTGCCCAGTGGTTTTGCTTTTGTATAGGGTAGAAAACAGCTTCAAACATGTTACCTCAAGGAACTATTACACGCCTCAGTGAAGTAAGCAAGGCTGTGATGATGACTGCACAGAGCAGTGGAGAAACTGAGGCACAGAAAGAGGAAATGAGGAACAAGTATGTGGAGGTACTAAAATTCAAATTTAAAGCCAGGCATAGTGGTGCACGCTTGTAATCCTAGCACTGGGGAGGCTGAGACAGGAGGATCACTATGAGTCTGAGCTACATGGCAAGACCCTATACCAAATAAATAAATAAAAATTAAAAACAAAAACAACCAAAAATAAAACTTTGAATTTAAACTTTTAATCAGACCAACTTTCCTTTGTGTCTTCTTAGGCCCTTTGGGAAGAGAGTCTATGTTTTGTTTTTTAGTGCTAGGGATTCAGCCCAGAGTGAAGTGTATTTTTTGTTTGTTTTTTAATGTATTTGTTACAGGGTCTCGGATTTGTAGCGATCCTTCTGTTTTTACCCTCCCCAGCTCTGGGATTACAGGCCTGAGCCATTACACCTAGTCTCGGGGGCTGCCTCAGAGTACCCAGGAGTGCAGCTGGCACGGTATATGGTGCTGGGGATTGAACCCTGGTCCCTGTGCTTGCCTAAGCAGGTGCTCAGTCTGCTGAACTATCTCCCTGGCCCTTTTTATGTCTTTTTGAGACAAGGTTTCACTATGCAGTTCAGGCTAGCTTTGAACTCACAGCAACCCTCTTGCCTCAGTCTCCTAAGTGCTGGGATTACAGTTGTGTGCCAACATGCCCAGTTAGTATTATGTTTATACATATGAATTTGGAGTCAAATCAATTGTGTTCAAATTCTAACTAACTTTTAGTTTTTTTTGGTTTTTTTTTTTCCGGAACTGGGGATTGAACTCAGGTCCTTGTGCTTGCAAGTGCTTATTCTACTGAGCCATCTCCCCGGCCCCTAGATAATAACTTTTATATCTCCTGATGTATAAGATGGGGGAGAATAATACCTGTCATCATAAGATGTTCACATAGCTCAGGGCATTTTTAAATTTTTGAATTGCTTTTGGGACAGGGTCTTGTTTTGTAGTGCACACTGGCCTTGAACTCAGTATGTAATCTGGGTTGGCCTTGAACTCATGATAATCCTTGTGTCTCAGCCTCCCAAGTGCTAGGATTACAGGCATGCACCATCACACCTGGATTAACAATGCATATCAAAAGTTTCAATCCAAAATTCAAAGTGGTGGTACATGCCTGTGATCTCAGCTTCTTGTGAGGATTAGGCAAGAGGATCACAAATTCAAGGCCAGTCTGGGTAATATCTTATAGCTTTATTGGTTTACTCCCTAGTATTGCAAAGAAAAAAAGAAAAGAAAAACATTTCAATCCATTTTAGTCATATGGGAACAAGGAGGCACAAATTCTGCAATTTATTGGTACAGAAAAGTTCTTTTAAATGTCTTACAGATTGGCTGAGGATTCATTTAAAGATTCTTTTGACCTAGATTAAGAGGTAAAGAGTGATATTCTAGGATATTCTATCACAACCTGATAGAATGTGAACATCACATGCCAACTTATTTGCTCTCTTCTCATGGATATCTGGGAACTATGGAACTGGCTGAGTGGATGTCAAATGCTTATTGGTTTAGCAGTTATTCACTTTGCCCACCTCATTGGTTTGCCCACGCTAATTAGTTTGGAGTTGAGTTGCTAGCATAGTCAAATCAAGGGCCACCTACCTGTAGAAATCCGTTCTACACCTTTCTGAAGGCTGCCTCGCACAATTTCTACTGGCAGAGGACTGACGACTGATGGGAACTTTGGACAATGGGAGAAACATGGAAAAATATTTTGTTATTTTTTTATCTAAGTCATTTACATAAAATCTATTTTTTATTCTATAAAGGTGATAATAATATGCAGAAAGGAGACATCAGGACAGCGACATATAAATGAAAGTGTAGGTTTTACCAGATGTGGTGGAGGCTGAGGCAGGAGGATTGCTGTAAGTTCCAGGTCCTCCTGGGCTACATAGTGAATTCAAGGCCAGCCTGAATTATAGAGTGAGAACTTGTCTCAAAAAAAAAAACAAAACAACAACAACAAAACCAAATAAACAAAATCCCAGATAAGTACAGGTTTTGATACTCAGTACCACAAGCAAGAGCAAGCAAGCAAGCAAGCAGTCTACCTCAAGGGCCAATAAGAGCTTCAAATTCAGCCCTGGATATTCTGGAATCTGGAAAGATAGAAAGATATACACTATCAGCTGCATAACATTAGCTATCAGAAAGGAGTAAGCCATCAACGTCTCAGAGTGAAATAAAAGGCTAACCTAACTTTGAACTGTAATGTAGTTTCCTACTTGAGAATTTTCTTTTCTTTTCTCTCTTTTTTTTTTTTTTTTTTTTGACACAAGGTCTTGCTATCTATTCCAAGTGGGCCTTGAACTCACTACACATGCAGTTTAGGGTGGCCTCCTCATCTGAGTACTGGGATTATAGGCATGCACCTCTACTTACTTGAGATTTTATTTTAGGAGATCTTACCATGTAGTAGGGCTGTACAGCCTAGTGAGTGTAAGCAATTTTTGTCTGTTTGCCTTGGATTTTACTTTTTTTTCCTGGGTTTCATTTTCTTCATCTGTAAAATGGAGACAACAGCAAAACACCTATTAAAAATGCTGTAAAGATTCAGTTATCTCTAAATTAATCAGGAAGTCTGACAATCTACCACTTATCTTGCACAATTCTAGACGGTGGGATAGTGGTCAAACAAGAATTTTTTTGTATTTAGTACAGGGTCCACAATGTCTCACTACACAGATCAAACTCATAGTGATCCTCCTGTTTTCAGCCTCCCAAGTGCTGGTATTACAGGTGTGCATCACTTTGCCTAGTCTAAACAAGATGTTTATCATCAAATAGTTCTTACATTCTAGTGGGCTAGAAAGACAATAATCTTTGAAAATAAACATTCCTTCAGGAAGTTTTGTGGAAAAAAAATACAACAAATGCATAGGTAGATTTCCTCTGATGTGTTTTCTAAGCCATTTTCCAGAGAAGTGAAGGGCATACTGTTAAAATGCCAAGATAATGCATTCTTGGGATGTAGAATTTTGTAGGCTAGTGTGGATAGGTTTTAATTTTTGTTTTTGTCCTAAAACTCACTTCTTGGCTGGGTGTAGTGGCACATGTCTGTAATCCCAGCACTTGGAAGGCTGAGACGGGAGGATTATTGTGAGTTTGAGACCAGCTACACAGCAAGGCCTTGTCTCAAAATGACTAAACAAACACAAACACCAAAACTCACTCCTCCTTTGTGCTTTTTTTTTTTTTTTTAATGTGTTTGGTACAGGGTCTCACTACACAGCTCGGTCTTATAGTGATCCCCCTGTTTTTAGCCTCCCCAGCGCTGGGATTACAGGCACGCACCACCACGCCAGGACTTGGTGGCCAGCTCAGTGCACTGGGAGCAGGCGGGCCAGCACAGCATGTGGTGCTGGCAATCAACCCTGGTCCCTGCGCTTGCCTAAGCAGGCGCTTAGTGCACTGAGCTATCTCGCCGGCCCTTCCTTTGTGCTTTTCATTAGGAGCTGAGATTGAGATGGTTTGAAATTGTATTGTGCATATAACTTCCAGTACACTGTATTTACATGTACGTTAAATTAGTTTTATTCCGACTCTATTTAGATTTACTAGTAAACAAAATGAGTCCTGCTCAGTGCCATAGAGCTAGGAAAAGATGCCTCTTGAAAATCTTTAGGATCACCTTGTTCTGATTTGTCACTGTTTCTTCCTCGCGGTCCATTTCCTATGTGATCAGTCCTTTTTAGGCTGAGCTGCTCTGGGAGTCCCTCAGAGCTTGGCGCTCTCCCGGGCTCTCCCTCCAAGGCCTGAGACCACGCCCACATTCTGGGGCGTGAGTGGCGGCCTCAGCCCCGCCTCCATTCAAACCGTGGTAGCCGCCTTCTTTCCCTGACCGCCGACTGTACGCAGCGGCGTGCGCGCGCGCCCCCGCTCGCGGCCCGGCTCAGCTTCGGGAGCGCGCTCTGTGTGGCCGCTGCCGCCATGTTGTTGTGGTTGTGAGAAGGCGGCGGCAGCGGCGGCGGAGCAGCCGGACGAGACGCTCCAGGGGCCGAGCGCTGGCCCCCCCGCCGGCCCTGGCTGGTAGCCTGGTGGGGTGGCGGAGGAGGCTGTGCCGTGGTGGACTTCGCCATGTCCTGTCGCCCGGTAAGAAGCCCCCCCCATCGCTTCGGGTGGTGAGGAGGGGCCACTCTCGGCCCCGGGGCGGCCGCTGTCACACTCTAAGGAGGCAGTGGCCAGCTGGGGGCTGGGGATGGTTTTCGGGGCCCGCGTGGAAGGGGCGGCCCAGGTGGCCGTCTCCGCCGCCGCCAGTGGGAGGCGCAGAGAGTGGGAGAGCTGCGGGCCGGACCCTTGGCGCGGGGGAGGCGGGGTCCCGGGCCTGGGCGGCCTTCCCGGACCTGGTGAGGAGGACTAGAGATGAGGCGCAGGGTGTGGGGTGCTCTCCAGCGCCCGGGCAAATGCCAGTGGATCCCTGGGAGGTGGGTGTGCTTCTCTCTGCCGCGACCAGGTCTGTGGGAGTCTGCTGTGGCTGGAGGCCGGAGGTCGGGGACCATTGGAGCCCTGGGGCGAGCAGTGCAGCCCGGGCCTTGTGGGAAGGAGGAGTGGCCGCCTGACTGTGCAGCCTGGCAGTGGATCTTCCTGACCTGGTAGTACTTCGGTGGGAAGGACAGTTTGGGGGCGGTGGAGGGACCACAGAGAACACTGGTCAGACAGCTCCGCAAAAGACAGTGTTATTTTTTGGTTAGAAATTGTGTTGGGAGTTACTGCATCTCAGGACCAAAAAGATTATATTGTTGGTTATACATAGGCCTGGAAAACTTATCTCAAAATTATGGGGTAGATTTTATGGCTACTTTAATAGGCCCTTCTGGAGTCTGATAAGCTCACTTGTAAATTTTGCACTACTGTTATTTATGTTTGTGTCTTCTCCAGACCCATTGGAAATTCTTATTCTAGTATTTTGACATGCTTTCTGACATCTATTTTTCATATAAAAAGTGTATATTCTGAATGAAGTGCAATTTAATTTCTCATATTGTGCATGGTAATGCCATCAGAGGTTGTTGTTGAATTACAGGCTTTTTAAAAAAATGAAATGTGATTTGTCAGTGGAGAGGTTGTGGGGACCTTGTCTTTTTAGATTCAGAGTTGTTTCAGTATGGCAAGAGACATGATCTATTTTTGCTTGGAAACCAAGTAAGGTGTGTTGGTAGCTTCAAGCATGTTATTAAACTAAATTTGGAAGATTCTAGAGTTTTAGATTGGCTGTATAAAGGCTTCTTTCAGCTTAGCCTCCCTCACTTCGGGTGACCCAAAGCAGTTCTTGTCAATCACCGGCACATTGGTGCATTTCTGCTTGTAGTTAATGGCAAGCCATAGAACTAGTGTCTCATCTTATATGCCAGGTTCTTAAGTTCAGTGGTTACCTAAAGGTCAGTCATTAGAAATATTATGGGTTGCCTAAAATGCTGACTCTTGGACCTCATACAGAACCTGGTGAATTAAAAGCTCTTGAAAATGGACCCTGGGAATGTCTAGGGTTTATAAAGCTCCCAGAATGACTGGTCTGCCAGAGGTGTGAACTTCTGCTGTGAGTTGAATATTCCAACGAATTATCATTAGTTAAATGACTTCGAAGGCTACTTTTATGTATAGCACTTTATTCTTTTTTAGTGTATTTAGTACAGGTTTTCACTACACAGATTGGACTTATAGTGATCCTCCTATGTTAAGCCTCCCAAGAGCTAGGATTACAGGTGCAGGCCACCAGGCCCAGTCTCAATCCCTGTCTCAGCATGCCCAGGGCATGGGGCTGGCACCCCAGGCCGGGAATCAAACCCCAGTCCCTTCGTCTGTCTAAGCGGACACTTTAATTTGCTGAGCTATTCTGCCAGCCCTTGTATAGCACTTTAATAAGAGTTTGAGAGGTAGGGAAGAAGAGGAAATGTGAAAAATATAAAACTGCAAATTTAACATCTTTCAAAATGTAATGGGTTTATGTAGGGGAAACAGCTTCATTTTCAAAAGTTATTTGTCCGCAAGCTATAAGGAACATATTTGATAAAAGTAAATGGCTGCTTAACTGGAAGTATATACAGGGGTACATTGATGCATCCATAGAGAAGAAGCAACAAAGGGGAGGCATTAAATCTGTTTCTGACTCCAAAGGGGTCTCCTGAAGATGCTTCCTAGCATCCCAGTATTGTGGTTGTTCCTAAACCATCTGACTCAAGTTTTCTAGTGAAGGGTAGCTCGGATATGTTAGCAGTCATTTGAGATGAGGATTATGAACCAGGAAGGTTTAGTGTGAATTGTGAAATGCTTTGAAAATTTGCCCCAATCTGAAGAGCATGAAAGTCAATTTAAAAATCTGCTGTAATCCTTGTTAACACCTTCTGTGATAATTTGGAGTCTTGCATTGCCAGAGGAAGTATTCATGTTTCAGAGGGGGTGTGGTTAGTGTTATAATTTTGAAGAGGTGGAAGAAAGTGTTATAGTTTTGTAGGACAGTGAAGAAGTCTGGTAAATATTTCATGTCATAGAGTAATTTTAGAGAGGTACACCCAGTTGTTCACAAAAACCAGAGCCCATGTTTGTGTCCTTCCTTGGTGTCCCCAGTACTTAGCACAGTCCTTAGTATATGTATTCTATACTCTCAGATTTTGAGTAAATGAATAGCATTGCTATGTGAAAAAGAACAGTTATGGTAATTGATTGCAGTATTAGTTATTAAAAGCTATTTAATACCTTGTCTTAGATTGAAGAGACAATTTTCTGTCCTTGTTTGTAACTTTTGATATTCCTTCAAGAGATTTGTTTTTATTTTTGTTTAATTTTTTGAGACAAGATCTTGCTATGTAGGTAAGGCTGGCCTTGAACCCAGCGATCCTCTTGCCTTAGCTACTACAAAGTGTGTACCATACTTGGTTGAGATTGGATTTTCCACAAAAACTTTCAGTGTCACATGACAGTAGATTGACTAGTATGGCTTTGTTCAAGCCTAGTTTGTGGTCCCCTTTTTATTTTTAATTTTGGCGGAACCAGGGATTGAACTCAGGCCCTTGCGTTTGCCAAGGAAGCACTTATTCCACTGATCCATCTCCCTGCCCCCCCTTTATTTGTAGCACCTTTTTCCTAGTTTTTTTTTAATCAATCTTTTTTCTTTTTTAAAATTTGTTTGTTTATTTATTTATTTTATGTGTGTGTGGCCAGCTCAGCCCACCAGGGGGCGGGGCTGGCTGGCATGTGGTGCTGGGGGATTGAACCAAGGTCCCTGTACTTTGCTTGGCTTAACTTGTTCTAAGTAGGTGCTTTAGACCACTGAGCCATCTCACCAGCCCCATTTTCCTAGTTTTTGAATCTTACTGTGTTTTAAGATTTTTTGGTGTTAATGACTTTGTTTTTTTTGGTCTTTTGGAGACAGGGTTTTGTTACGCAGTTTAGACCGGCCTTGAACTCACTTTGTAGCCCAGGATGGCCTCACACTCAAAGTGTTGGGATTATAGGCATGTGTGTCTCTCTCCCCTGCCCCCAGCCAATGACTTTAAAAAGAATGCATTTTTTAAAAAGCAGAGGTAGGTACAGTAATGGAAAACTCTGGATTGGCAGACAAATATAGATGCTGATTACAGTTGTGGCATTAATTGCTGTTGGGAATGTTATTTAACTTCTCTGGGCTTGGTTTCCTCATCTATATAAAGGCCTGTACTCATTGACTACTTGGTCTGATCCTGCAATTTCATCCAATATGGATACTTTTTATCTAAAAGAAACTATGAATTTTACACTTTGTCCAAAAGTGTTCTGAAAATTGAGTGCATGTTGCAAGTATTACACGGAAACAACATGCTTATTCTGTTGTAATCCACTTAGTGTTGAAATCAAGTCAAGTTTCACATAAAGAACTTCATAATTTGGTGGGAAGCCACAAGACTAAAAATGGTTAGAGAGAAATGTGTGCAATTTATGTGGCTAGTTGTTTCTTACAGACCACCAGGTTCTTTAAATTTCTATGCTGAATTTAAATGTGATTTTACAATCAGTGAAATATTAAATTTAAGACAATATGAAATCACATCCATATTGGATTATACTAGGATTCTTGCTAATTTTAGAGGCTATCAAAGTTATTAATGTGTCATTGCTATTTTTAATCTTAATTTTGTGGTACTGAGAGTGGTACCATGCATTACTCTTCAATTTGTACTATAGCTAGACACGTAATAAACCTTCAAAGTTCATATTTTTATCAGATGTTCAAAACAGAAGTTGTTTTAGAATGACAGTGGATTGACCAGTACAGTTTGGTTGAAGCCTAGGTTGTGCTCTTTTTGTTTATAGCACGCCACATAACCCTTCTGGGCTTCTGTTTTTTCCTTAGTAAAAGGAAGAAGAGCAACCTCTCTACTTATACTGGCTGTCAGGGCACATCAAATGGAATGGTATAGATGAAAAGCAATCTAAATATGTAAGAGGATGGTACTGACCTAGAATCCTGTTGTATTAGGAGCTCTCCATCCCCTTTGGTGAGTTGGCTTGTGGAGCAGTGGGAGCCTCGTACATGTTGTCAATTGCAGAATTTCCTAATGTCACTGACAACAGCAACAGAAAAAGTTTTTTGTTTTGTGTTCTCCCAGGAGAAAACTTTCAGGACTTGTGTTTGCTAATAGGAATATTCACAGTGTTGCAGGGATGTTGACACTGGATCTAGGATGGGATCTTCAGTGGGATCTAGGATGTCTCATGTTTGTGCCAAGGTCTTGCATTTGCTATATCTCAACCATTTTCTTACATTGAAGTCTTTTTTTTTTTTTTACTGTATTTAGTACAGGGTCTCGCTACACAGATAGGACTCCTAGTTATCCTCCTGTTTTTCAGCCTCCCAAGTGCTGGGATTATAGGTGAGTACCACCACGCCCAGTCTCAATCGCCTCTCAGTGCACCCTGGGGGTGGGGCCAACACTGCAGGCCAGGAATCCAACCCTAGGCCCCTGGGTCTGCCTGAGCAGGTGCTTTAATCTGCTGAGCAGTCTGGCTGGTCCATTTTCTTATGTTGGAGTTGTGGTGGAAGGTAATAGGAACAAGAAGTTTATTGCATTCTACATGAAGTTTTAGAACTTTCTAATGATAGATGGTAGTGTCATTGA